TGGCCTAACCCAAGGGCGCAGGGAATAAGGCATTACTGTCTCATTCCTGATGCGGCTGCGCACAGCAGGTGCCTTTTGAGCAGCACCGGGCTCTGTGGCTTTAAAAGTATTTCGACCGTATTGGATAATGCGCCGGTGGTCACGGTCAACCGTTGGGCGCTCGGAGTGTGCGGTTTTTGGGGCCGACCTTTTCTAACCCGTCCTTCGGGAAGGCAAGGCAGCAACGCTGCTTCCATGAATATGGACATGCTGGTCGCCTGTGGGAAACACCTGCCTTCGCACTCCTGTCGCAGAGTACGACTTTAGCAGCTTTAGGTCAGGGCCGTCAACTCACAGTGATGTGATCATTGTGTAAGAGGGGGCGAGTTCCGTGACGTCGCATATCGCTGGTGGTGAGGGTGAGGTCCGGAAGGGTAGGTCGACGTCCACTGCGGAACCGTGTTGGGCTAAATTATCAGCGCGATCCGTTAGAATCGACTGTTTGTGAAGGGAGGGCTCAAAACCTTATTTAGGAAAGATCAGTGTCCACGAGTAAGTGGATGGCGTGTTGAAACTCCCAAGGATTTAGTAGTGTGAGTAACCAGTGGATAAGAGGCGCGATAGTAATGAATATATCGTCTCTGTTGGTGGGCGTAGAGAAGTGGTAAACGGGTCCAACCAACACTGGATCATGCCAGTATATGTCTAGATAAATACAGAATGAGTTGACAAACGATAAGTGTAATCGCTCAGCATTGCAGTTTCCAGTGTCTGGCTGCCACGCCACCTGAAGGAAGCACGAGGGCTGGGATGGCGCCAGGTTGCCCAAGCCTAGACACAAAAAGTCGAGACACAGAAATCGGGTTCGAAGCACAAACCTTCTGGTCATAAGTTCGCGCTCTAGCCATTGATCCACCTTGTTCCTCATCTTATCTTATCGATAAATGAGTAGGAAAAAACAGCTGTATAATACGGCTGAGACCCTAATCGACGACACATATACCCCCCAGGTTAACCACCGGGAGAGTCAGAACGACGCACAGTGTAGCCTGAACAGCTAATTTCTGAATCCGGTACATCTGGAGTAAGCTAGGATTCAGTATGTAGCATCGAGTAAGGAGACAACAGTGACACTAAGTTGTGCAGCCCGAGACTTCATTTTGGGACTCTAATCGTCGTCCTGTCTAGGTGAGGGCGCCAAGGCAGTACAACTGTGAATTGCATATTTACAAATAATCTCATGCCGCATGGGCCATCAAGTGGTGTCATCAGCTGGGTTGTTGTGCCTGCAGGAATGTTAAGCAAAAACAGGCTACTTGTGACACCTCCCCTCTTCCTCTTTCACACACTCGCTCATCTCCCCCTCTTCGCTCTGTTGCTAGCGTTACCCCCATGAGTCCATTCTTAAGAACTATCATACCCGTTCGCTGCTCGTTACCGCTAGCTACAATATCCACGGTTGACTTGGTCGCCGCAACCAAAGACACTTCAGAATCATTCTTTGATAAGTTTATCTAGCAGTATCCAGCCATCAAACTCTGAAACAAGCCGAACAACTGTACGTTGGACTTGCTTCCTATTGGCGTGTGCTATCTGTCTAAATAAGGATTCAAGACCAAAGAAGAATGGTTGAAAGAGCCTCTCAATCGGTGTTCCCTTGCTTACGGCTGTGCAGCTCTGTTGAAGAAGCGTTCAGCTGTAGCACGCTTTCGGTGCCTAGCTGCCATCCACCCGAAGGGAAGCATGAGGGCAGGGATACTGCCAGGTTGCCCAAACCTAGACAGGGGAAGTCGAGAGGCGGAGGTCGGATTCGAACCGCGGACCTTCTGGTCGGGAAATTCGCGCTCTAACCACTTGGGCCATCTCGCCCAGAAGTCGATGCTGGGTTTGGCATTTTTCTGAGTCACCGAGCTGAGGGGTTACTGTCTGAATGACTGCCCATCAAAAGTCATCTCTGTGCGGTTCGGTAACGTCTGTGAAGGGATTTCCTAACGCACCGATGGCCGCTGCCAGTTCACTGCATATGTGCGCTTAAGACCATAGCCTGGATGGGAGCACTTGAGATGCAGAGGTTGGGTTGGAAATACAGACCATCCGGTTAGTGAGTCCTCACCTTAATCACTGGGCGTTCCCCGGCTTAATGAAAATAAAAACGGATCATTTATCTCCAAGAAGAGCACCGGCTCTGTCCAAAGATGGGGATGGAACCCTCAGTCAAGCTTGTCTAATTAATTTGCCTCCCTATGGGTGAAAAAGAATCCCTGATTCACCTGATGTGAGTCAAAAGTGGCGCGCATTTCCAAAAATGGTGCTTACAGTCAGTGTGGCAGTCACAGAGAACTATCTTGACACCCGATGCAACCGAATCATTCGGGCCGCTTGTTTTACGTCGTCTACGGAGGAGTGTGGGGGAATCCAGGAATGACGAGCAAGATTTAGGTCACCAGGGGCTGTGTGGACCACATCTTCACATGCCGTCAAGCGTAAGAGCAATGCCATGTACATTCTTGACCTTCCCTGATTTCAAGTGTGCGTTTGATTCTACCGACTTGCTAGTTCTTCCCTAGGCGCTTGCGTAACGAGTATGCGCTGTTTGTATTCACATACTTGTGGCTTCTCGAGAGTGCATGAGGAGCTCTCCAAAGGCTTACCCACTCCCTCAATTTTCGCTTCATTTCAGTATTGATGAGGTGAACATTGGAAGGTCTGCAAAATTCCGATATCCCAACCCATTGAGAAGCAGGAACGTTACTGACAGGGAACATGCAAACAAAGAGCGGAAAACGCAAGTATTACTGAAAAGACTGATCGAGGTTGTTCAGTCATTCGGCATGCGCATCGCGCCCATAAAATTTCAAAGTTATGATGCGATAATCCTTGGGCATGCCTCTAGCAATTTAAGGAGTGACAGTGGAGGTTATGGAAGACTACGCGCGTCTTGAAAGGTGCATTAACTCTGACGGTAGTGTGGTACGCAAAGTGAGCGCAAAAATTTGAAGGAAGGAATTGCGTTTGTCAATTTGTGCGAATTGTGGCTTCAAAAATTTCTTATTGCGTATCAAAGGACGCGCGTATCATACTACGGTACGGGTTGGATTGTTGTATGGCTACGAAACTTGCCTACTTCGGGAAAAGGATTCGCTTTCTCCGAACTATGAAACCAGTGGATCTGAGATGTGGTGATCAGGAAGCACGTTCTTGGTAAGAGAGGGCAATTTAATTCAAGAATACATCCGGTACTGCAATCTACGTCGTACAACCTGCCGCGCCTAACTGGATCTTCAGGCTCACGGAATTTTACTCGACAGAAGGGAATGAGGGACGTCACAAACCTTTGGGCGCTGTGAGTGCTATTAGCCTTCCCGGATCCTCTCTTTGTCGCGCTGCAGACACTCAACGATAGGGCTGCTGACAGATAACAGCGACGTTCAGCTTTTATCCAGATTGTATAACTGAGTGATGGAGGTGAAGGCAGCTCGGATAGTAGTTTTAGGCTTACCGTAGTTTCCCATCCTCATTTTATTTTGCTTCCTACACCAAAAACTCTAGTCGAATCAGTTGAGATGGTTGTGTGGCAGTGAAGTAGCGGTCATTTCATTCGGTGTTGGTGTCAATCATGATGATGACAACCGTTTGTAACATTCATGGCGGTAGTTGAGTCAGTGTCTGTCAGCACTGGCACCCCCAGCATGTAAACTGCCTAGCTTTTCCTTCTGGTTTTAGATTGTTTGGGTCTGCACAACAGGGTTTGATCCTCCCTATCTAGGGACTGTCTGGGTACACGCATTTCGCAGAAGTTTGAGACAAAATATGAGCTGTAAACGGCGCAGCTTCTTCCACCGTGCTAAGAGTGACAATGGGAAGGCAATCCGTCGGCGTGGGCCGCATTATACTTCCATGCAAATCCGGTCAGTGTTTTTGGCTTCAAAATGACACTTATGGTGGGAGAAGCTGAACTCAATTTGTTGTTCTCCCCTGTTCTTCAGGCTGCCAGAGACGACGCGGTTGGTTCATGTAAGTTAGTGTATATTAATGTCACCAAGTCCAGATGCACGCTTCGGCTTTCTTTGCAGCTGTTTTTCGGAGGAGGGTTTGATGAGGCACGAGACCATCCGGTAGCTTGCTTACCCCACCGGATTGCGTTAGTTGGAGTACGTGAGCCAAGTGGAGACTGTGCCGGCGGACTGGTATGGGGTGGGGGAAACTACCTTGAGTAGCCGTGGAAGGTTCGCTGGAGAAACTTAAGTGATAGGGGTGGTGGGAGAGATGATGTGTGGGTATTGGAGCTGTAAATAGGAAACAAGACAGTAGAGTGAGCCTTTAACTTAGCAATTGACGTTATAATACCAGCAAAAGTAATTCATTTGTTGCATAGCACGGATACAGAAGCCAAAACCATAACTCTCTTAAACACGCCCGCAAATTCGTACCATGCCCAAGGTCAATTTCAAGGTCAACCTGCTTGTTCTCAGTTCAGTGGTCCAAAATGATAATAAGAACCACGATCAGTCAAATCCTTTAGTTATAGGTTATTCAGCCTTCTTGATGTTGTAGTGGCCAATAAGTTCACTGAGTTAACTTTGAGCAGTTGATCTCCGCGATAGGATGAAGTCGGTCATGTTCCGCCAATATGGTGAGAATGTCTCCAACTGCAGCTGACCTCATGGTGAGATTGAAAATGAGCGGATCCTTCAAACTGAACGCACAGGTGGTGTAGTGCAGAATTCTGAGTTTCAAAGATGGGAAGCAGCTACTCCTGGTTGCCAAATTTCTCGAAAGTTCTCACCGGACATACACTATCTGTCACAGTGCATTACCAGTTATAACCACAGTCCGTACCCCTGCTGAAAATGTCGTTTATTGGACTGTATCAAAAGGTCCTCGGCTACTTCATGAAACCCATCGCGGAGCGCACAGAGAGTGATGTGGAGACCATTTATCCTTGGTTCGGGCAGCATTCGACATTGTTTGCTTCCCTCCGTCAGGGTAATCCAACAATTTAAACTTTCTCTTATACCGCATTATTAGAAGTCGCAAAGGACATCATCCGAAATTGTGAACTGGAGAAGTATACTGCAGACACAATTATCGTACGACAGTTCGAAAAGGGCGATTGGTAGGTCGACTATAACCATTGGAGCGTACGTTTTGCGTTTACTCATCTCCTTGCTTGAATGACTAGTAGGGTAGCGATCATTATTTTCCCCTGATTTACTCGTGGAGGACAGCGGGCTTGCATGCCGCACCATGATTTTGAACACTACGTTGTTCAGCTAACAGGCAATGGGCAACTCTGAAAATCAGCAAACTGCACGAGAAAGAGAAATCTTTTCTTCGGTTTTCTTAATAGGTTATTTGCGTCCAATTATGCTGAAGTAGGAGAGTAACCTGTCTCTTAAACAAACCGTTTAAAGGTTGGTGTAATGATATCCTGTTCATATGGCATAGCAAGGTATTATCACTTACTCCTCCCAACATTCAAAAGCGAACGGGCGATGTCTCTTCGAATGGTGTTGAGAAGTCTGCAAGTCGATTGCCAAGCTCGGTGGACAGATCAGCATTCACCTGATTATTTCCCAAGGAATGCACCCGGGCTACTCATATCCCAACACACCGCTACCAGAAAGAGTTCCCCTACTCCACATTGCAGTGCCAATCTTCTGTTCATCCTTTAAATCAACGACTGATTAGCAATCTGTGGTATTAAAACCCATTTGTAATGGATTCTCTGTCACCGTCACCTCAATCTCCTATTTTAGTTTTTTTATTCTGATTGGGGCGAACTAGTGCCAATCTTCTGTTCATCCTTTAAATCAACGACTGATTAGCAATCTGTGGTATTAAAACCCATTTGTAATGGATTCTCTGTCACCGTCACCTCAATCTCCTAT